GCGCACCGCAACCGCCCTCTCTGCCCTGCGGGAAGAGGGGGGGGGGGGGGACATGCCCCCTGGGCCTCTGCCAGGGTGCATGTAGCTCCCAGCGCTCCTGGACAAGCTGCCCGGGCTCCAATTGTTCCACCAGTCAGCCCAGCTGGGGCCCCACTCACCCCAGCCTCTGCCCCTGCCTGTGCCCCACTCCCTCCCTCGCTGGGGCCCGTGATCTGCCCCCTCGTGGCCCTTTCCTCTCCCCCCCGCCCCTTCAGTCACAGACTTACCTGCTCAGGGGGGAGGGAGGCATGGTGGAGCATGCATGCATCCATGCATACAGCCTCCCCAAATATTTTTTTTCTCCCTTTGCCTATGCCTCTTTCTCTTGTGCATTAGTGACTCATACCAACCCAGCCATGCAGGGTGAATCTCACCCCTGCCTTCTGGCCTGGGTCAGTGCAGGTCTGCCTGCCTTCCCCAGTTAAAAAACTGAATGTCAGTTCAATTTATCGGTTCAATCTACACAGCTCAGAAAAACCTGCAAAGATTGAATAGATTCTGCCTTGGGCTTTTTGACTATTTTACCTTAGAGTCTACTGTTACAGACTGAGCAGACATCTATCTAGATCCAAGAAAAAATTGGAAAATGCTCAGAAAAACAATGGAACCTTTCCATTGCTTAGTCAACATGACTCAGTTGACACATTCATAAATCGTTTTTGTTTTGTTTTGGAGTTGGAGATACTGGACATGGAGGCATGCCCAAAGACATCCTCTGGCATCATGAGGTTGTCAGTTACATCCTACATTGTACGGATAGTTCCTGAAGGAAAAAAACCAAAGGTCGTTTAGAGGTTAATGGAGTTTTCCAAATGTATTGTCTATATTGGGCAGTAACACTTATGATGCTTAGTTCTTGCAATTATCTTAGAGTTCATGGTTTTATTAAACCTTACAAACTGCTCTTCTAGGATTCTTAGAAAGGACTGGGGCTGCTTATATGAACAACAATACTTGTATTGCTAGATGCTTTGCAGAATTGGGGACTATGTATTCAAAACTTGATTTCAGTTGCATAGCAGATGTGCAATATATTGAGCTACTAGAGTAATTTTTAAAGAATATTAAATGAGTGGATGTTAATAAGTATATACTCAAAGGATTTCTGTCACTAATTTTATTTTCAAAACCTTTTCTTATACAAATTGACAGATGGAAACAGAGACCTCTTATCATTTTTATGTATTTTAGACATTACTGCCACCTGAAGTCACAGTGATTTTTCATTCAGATGATCAGTTTTGAACAGGAGTAATAATTCACAGTTCTAAATTTCTCTAAATTTACTCTGAGCCTAAGACACATTGCGAAGCATTTAAAGCAACATTCAAATGCTAGATACTCAATGGTATGTGATTTTTATTAACTTACAAACGTACAACATCTTGTCAAATTATCAGATTGTGTATAACTGGAATTTAACTTTTACTTTGGTTCTATAGTGTTGTTAGTAAGAAATTACGTCTGTTAGTCCATTATCTTTAAATTCCTGGACATTTACAAACATGTAAATATATTTTAAACCAGAAAACTTGTGGAAAGTTACATACACTAAAATGTCTCTCTCCTTCATAAATATCTTTCAGTAGGAATGTACTCAAAGTAGTCCTCAAAAATTGGTTAGCCACTTTTTCAGAAGAATTTTTTCAAGCACTAACATGCTTAACAGATGACAGCGATCATTACAAGAACTTCTTCTTTCTGAAATTTTTTTCCAGGAAATCGCACTATAAGACTTATTTATTGCAGATTATAAAAAAGTGAGGATCCCTAAGATCATGAACCTAAGGACACTGCTTCAACACCTTTTACAGAAAAGGTCCCTAATGCTGTATTTTACAACATACGATCACAGCTGTTCTTACATTTCACTGTGTAGTACATGGAAAAATTAAGACACTTTGTGGCTCAGTATCTTAGCCAACATCTGCCGATTAGGAGGAAGTCCTTTTGGAACATGGTGCCTTTCTTCAAAGCTTGTTTCTACTTCACTTGGCCATGTGCGGTCAGGAGAAGGATTTGATGCAGCAGGTGTTGATGTCTCTGTCATTCCATCATTACTTAACAGTCCTGTAGACTCTTCATGTAAAAACCCAGCTTTATATTTGGGTAGATTCTTTTTCACATGTTTACCTGAATTTCTCAGTTTACTTCTTTGCTCCTCAATTTCTGCATCATTTGCAATATTTGCAAAGGTTTTCAGTCTGTGTTTAAGTTCAGGCTCTGTTTCCTTTATAAACTGAGCTGCTAATGTTCTTCTACAGCACTTCTGTATGATTCTGGGAAGGGAGTTAAACATTTTTAGTCAGGGCAGTACACTCCAGGGCAGAACAGATTCCTGTTGCACAGTCTGCCTCTACATTTATGACAAGTAGGTAAGGCCTCTCACCTGTGCAATTCAGATGTAGCCTAATCTTGCTGGTGGTTCTAGAACTAAGGCTTGCCCTTAAGGTCAGTCTGCCAAATTTCTGTCTTGGATAGTGGAAAACGTTGCTCCAGAGTAGAGTTCTGCTGCCCTTTGTGCACCTACCTACATGACAGTTTTCCAGCTACATAAATGGTCTTTTGGCATTCATACACAGGATGTAATT